GTAATGACAAATCTGCAAGAACAGCCACTAGTACAAGTGATGAAGACATGGAGTCTGGAGAGTGTTTCCTTACCGAAAAAGAATATTGATCTCTTCCTGCAGACCTTCTCCTGCAATCACCCAGGTCAGCATCATGTTGACACAATGCGCAAGGATGCACCTCGCCTTATCGCCTTATCGCCTTATCGCCTTATCCCTCAGGGCAGCAAGCGCAGTAGGGCTGTCTTTATGTGTCATCAGTATAAGCTCAGTTTTTTATGTTACAGGGACAGATTTGTGTGTGACGTTTGTATGGGGACTGGAAAGGCATCAAATTTTTGGTCTTCTCATTGTACTGGTGTTGGGGACCCAGGTAAAGTCAGTATAGAGAACTTATTTGTCAGTCATGAGCAAAAAATAAGAAAAAAATCTAATTAGTTATATCTGTTATGCTATCCAGTAGGTTTTATCCAGTTTAGTACAATCAAAGAGGAGAAGTATCCATTTCTCTGATGACTGCTTTTCCTCAGGTTTGTCTCCATGCTGGAGCAGACAGGTCATTATCGAACTTTATTGCCTTTATTGTACTTCTAGCTGAACATCTATTGAATCATGCCCTCATAACACAGCAAGCATGAGTCCTGCATCGGAGCAGCTCAAGCCGACGCTGTGGACGAGGGTCCAGGCTTTGGTCACAGCACCCAGTCTCACCAGTGCTGACCGATTTATACCTGCTTACAATTTGCTTATGGAGTCAAAAATGGTTGTTTTGTTGATGTTTCAAAGGGGGGTTATCCCCCTCCCTACAGCATCGAGACAAGTTTATTGGTAGCAGAGCTGTACAAAATAGTACTCAGCTCCCTCTTCAATGTGCTATATTTAGAGCCATGTTAAAACAATATGTTCAGTCAAGCTTTTTGCTGTGTCTTTTTCTGGGATCTCTGTATGGGGATATTTTGTTTTTTCCTTTACTGTTTTCTATTATTATTTGACCACAGCATTTGTTCTGCGAGTGACATTGTTTCTGCTTAATTTTATTAATGTTGGTCCAGCCTGCGGAATGTTAATTGCTAATTATCAGCTCACATGCACGTATTTCATAGATGATAATACAAACACAGTATCCCCGTGATTCATATTTAATGGCTTTTGGCCATGTGCTGCAAAGATTAAATGCATTTTGATTCACGGGGGCCATCACATAAACTTCCTTTCTAGCACAAGTTCAGATCTGTGTTTTGTATGTTTTCACCTACTGGGCTGGAGAAGTGTGTCATTTATTTTACTGGGAAATTGGCTCAGATAAACCAGCCCCCCTAAGCTCTTCTCCAGTTTAACCCCATTTTCAGCACTGTTTTGTGTCCTACAGAGAGGCTTCTCTTTGCCCCCCCCCCCCCACCCAAATCCCCATGCCAGTGCTAATTCCCAGCCTCCTGAATATTAAACAGTGCTGACTGCAGGAATGTTCCCTAAATTAGCAGCAGATGTGTGGCTTTGTTCGAGCACGGTTTTATCTGCAGTCCAAGCTGCAAAATAACACGGAATCGACAACATCGGCATCAAACTGCAAAACGAAGCTGGGGCTCCTGGTGGCCGATGTATTGCAGTGTGACTGGCAGTGTACTTAAGCGGACGTTTAACGGCCACTTCATAGGCGACTGGCAAACAAACTGAGCAGGTAACGTCATTTCACAGCAAGGTTTGTTTCCTTCTGAAGAAGCTTTATTTTTGTTTTTTTTTCCCGGTTTTTCATTTAGGAGACATGGAAAATAGACAGCCTTCTCAAGTCTGCCTCCCAGTCGAGATGGAATTTGGCATTCCTAAGAGGTGGACTTTCGGTTACCTGGTATTCCTGTTTACCTGCGTATCCTGTCGTGGCTGATGCTGAACAGACCCAAGCTGAAAGCCAGAATGAATGACAAGCCTTTAGGGTAAATTGTTTAGGCATCTGCGCTGTCAGCATATGACTTCATGACATGCTGCGTTAACATTATACATACTACCCTTGTTAACATCTACGGGGTCCCAAAGCTCATTCTGTGATAGATTATTAGTACTTGACCTTAAACTTTTATGGAGGATATGCATTTTAGTTAGCAACAATAACTAACCTCTAAAGAGACTTTTTTTTTTTTTGACTTCCCTTGTCAAATCAGTCTGTTAACTAGCCAATGGACTGATGAGCCGAGTTGAGTTGTGGGCGTGTGTGTGTGTGTGTGTGTGTGTGCTTTGCATAGATCACATTTGAGGACCAAATTGTCCCCAAAGTGTAGAAAAACCTGAAATTACCCTGCTTTTGAGGTCCCCAATTGGATAACATCAGTTTAATAAAAAAATCTGTGAATGCAATCAAAAAAGTAAAAATGACAAAAGTCTTGTATTTGGGTTGGTTACTTATGGTTAAGGTTAGGGATGGGTAGGGGTTAAGGGTGTTGTGATTTGGATTATTTTTCCCATAGAAATGAATGGATGGTCCCCATTTAGATAGGTGTGTGTGTGTGTGTCTGTGTGTGTGTGTGTGTGTATGTGTGTGTATGTACAAAGTTTTTGCACACTGAAATTTTCTACATTTGCATGTTACTCACTTAAGATTAACTAAAATATTCTTTGCTAATAAAGAGATTTACAGTACATTCACCATTTGAGTACCTTTATTAGCAGAAAAATTCAATATCTTTGTTTCATCAAAGTAACTTCCTCTACCAGTTATAACATCACCCAGTGATTGAACACCAAGTTAGAAAAACAAATTTGGTTTTCAAAATGGCACCTTGGAACCATTCTGGGTGTCTGGGTCCTCAGACAGGGAGACCAGGCTGACGGTCTCACAGACAGAGAGCCTAATACCGTACTGGCAAGAAAGAGCAGCGAGTGGGAAGCACAGAATGTAATAGCTGATCTCTTTATATGCTGAATTTTCCGGCACATTAGAATAATGAAACTACAGATAGACAGAGGGGGCTGCAGTTTAATGAGCATGCTTGTGAATTTCTGAAAAATGATGCTAAAAAAACAACAAAAATAACATATCATAAATAAAGGCTAAATATGAGAAAATTTGGTATATGCTGTTTTATTGCCATAATTCCTCACGAGTTTTGAGGGAGACAAGCCCAATTAATAGGAACAAATCTTTTCTAAATTAATATAAAATCATTTTAAGGTGGTAAAAAAAAACAATAAGGACAAAAGGCAACAAAAATGCTTTTTGTCATCTGAAGGAATGAAGCAATTAAACTGCACACAGTGGTTAGCCTCACTGCACCCAGAAAAAGCAGGCTGCAGAACAACGAAACAGCGGCATAGGCTTCCTGCAGCCATTCAGGGAGCAGAAGTTGCCCGTAAATCTTTAGACCTTTCAGAACCATAGAAGAGACAGAATGCCATCACTCCGGGGGCAGCTCTGACGATCTACCTCAGCGAATCACATGCTTGTAGGCGTGCGGCGAGTGGCGGTAGTGAGTGACACAAGTCACAAGGACGGTTATGATGACGGCACTTAACACAGACTGAAGGGGGATGAGAAGAGACGTCAGAGGAGACGGACGAAGAAAAACACAAAGGAGAAAGTGTGGGGGGGGGGGCCGTGAACCTGAGCACCGCTCACCACCATGGGAGATACAGGGTGTCGCCGGTGCATGAGGACTGGTGGGGGGGGGGGGGGCGTGAAATTTCAGGGTGCCATTTTGGGCGGGCACCCTCTGAGTCTTCCTCCCACGGAGGAGGGGAGACCGTGACCCCCCATGTCCATTTCCCAGCTCCCTGACCCTGCCAGCCCCACCACTAGGGCTCCATTTATTATGGGCCCCCACTTAAGAAGGAAACGCTTTTTCAATTGCCACTCTATTAAGTATGTTTTCATAGGCTTTTTTTTTCTCCTTCCCTGATTTTCCGTTTTTTTCTCTCTATTTTTTTTTCCTATATAAACACCAGGTCTATCCCCAGGTCACAGCTGCTGTGGTCAGGAAAAATGACTCCAAACTCCAAAATACTTATACAAATGTTATTGGCCAGAGGACGTTGTGTGTTGACTTTGTGAATCTGGTTGATATCGCACTGAAGGACCCGTTAGACAGTGAAAGCTGTCAAAGGATGTGATTCACTGCTCAAAGGCCTCAGGCAACGTCTTTAACTTATTTTGATTGTCACCATTAGGAGAGAGTCCCCAAAAAGCAGACGTGGACAAAGGCGGTTTCCTTTCTGCGTAAACCCTCCCAGTCGCAGAGTGACAACCCGTTTTAAAGAGGACTCAATTAATCCTGTTCATTCATTTAACATGGAAATTTACAGCTCACTGGCTGACGCTTACCTCAAAGTCTAGATAAAACATGCAAAGCATGAAAATCACAAATACCACACATACACAATATGTGCTGTTATGTAAATGCAGAAAATCTACTGCATACTAAACATTATATTATTATCTAGTAAACATAAAGCAATTATTTCATTCTGCTGTGTGAATGAGAATTCTGCATTTAGCGCTGTACCCTGACAGCAAACACATTTGTGCTTGAAGGGGGTGTTTTTGTGCTTTGATATATAATAATTAGCAGGTTCTGCAGCTGCGATAACAGACTGAAAGGTGAAATCCCTCGTGTCACTAGACTGCACCGGCCTCCCATACACGACTAGGACAGCGGGATTAAAGGTCGGCCCAGTCACTGGCCAGTGACCCACGACTACGGCCCTGAAAAATCACAACCAAACCACGATTGCCGTGAGGGAAGGTGATCAGGCCCTGGATTAACGATGCACTGCGCGTCAGAGTCTTTGTGAAAAGGACAACAGGGAACACAAGGCAGCTACGAAGAGCAACAGCTGCACATTTAAGCTCTTTATTCTATACCCAGTCTATCGTGGTGCCAGAGAATTATTCGATTATGAGAGGATCAGTTGCAAGAGGTATTGGGTTTTCCATCGGAACACTTTCAATTCCGCTGACAAAAAAGCATGAGGAATATCCACCAGCACTGATTCCTTCATGATTCCCCTAAAACAGAGTCATTCGAGTCATTATATTTTTTCCACAAACTTTATTCGCTGTTAATAGCTCTGCTGTTAAGCTCTGCTAAAGTAAGACAAGAAATACATTTGAATTATCTTCTATATAAAATGCTAATGTCTGAGTTTGAAGGAATGCAGTGCTTTAAATTAAACCCCCCCCAAGGGGAACGGAAGCTGGATCTAACCCTGTGATGATCACCCCTCCCCCATTCATGCTTCTATTACATATCCAGCTCTTCTACTTCCCCCTCCCAGCACCACTGCCCATGTCTAGTCCCAGGGGGGGTCAGAGAAGTGGGGCAGTCCACAGAGAGTCTGGAGACAAGCCCAGAGGGTTCAATCTACTGAAGAGGAGCACAGAACCAAGAGTCTTCATCCTGAGACACGGAGCAGCCTCCTCTCCTGCCCACCAACAAAGACGTCATATGGACCCTTCAGCATTCTCCAGTCCTCCGGTGCCGTTGCCAAGGGCACCGGCAGAATCCAGCAGAAGTTTGTGCTGCATTGCCCCCGTCCTCAGTGCTCGTGTGCCAGTCAGGGGCTCAGTCAGAGGCGCCGCTCGTAGTAGAGGATTCATTCATGCTGTCGGTCACGTATTCAGGGTTTAATCACCATAATATCTGTGAGAGGCCTGAGGTGAAGTAATCTTTATTTGTTCGGGGTCATGTTTTTTGCGATAGTCATACTCCGTTTCCTGGCTGCCCTGACAGGATTTACAGGAATTTAAATTTCATCGCAATAGGCAATAGAGTAGAAATCTGTGCCATGAACGCTGTAGTGGCTTTTGTGGCACTTTGCAGCTGGAGTAGAGTCATAATAACTATGAAAATCCACTCACAAACTGACACTCCAGCTAAAAATGTGATTGTTATGCCGCCCTGTACCGAGAAGCTTATCATAAGCAAATTTATGTTTGAATAAGAGCTTTAGGGTTTCATTAACCCTTTACAGAGACACAGAGCGAAATATCACATGCATGACTTGATGGACGATCAGGCATCTTAAGAGAAGCCCGACTGTGAAACAAACCAAGGTAATTAGCATCACTGGCTTGATTCATGGCTTCAAGGTATCTTATCTGAGCATGAATGATATCCGGCGACTTCAGGACGAAGCAGAGGTTAAGTGGCCGTAATCAGCCTGTGTTTGCAGAAGGGGGCCATTTATTTCACCTGCCACTCTAGAGTCGGCAGTTCAGTGCCTCAGCAACACACTGTCTCTGAAGATTGGGGTGGATGGAAACACAGGGGAGGGATATCAGTGGTTGTGGCTGTGATTGTGGTAAGGAGTGGGGGGTTATGGAAACTCGAGAAGGGACGTCGTGACCTTCCCTAACCAGCCCCCAGTCATGCTGTAATCCAAGGACACTGCTTCCCGCTCCCACTTTGCTGATAGATAACACCCATCATTCTTGTTGGATAAGTCTTACCTGCCCCTGACCAGCAAGCTAAAGAAAACGGCCGGATCATGATGACACAAGCATTGGTTTTCTATGTGTGTTAGTGTTAACCTCTCTAAGAAGCTAATTAATTGCTCGTGCACGTGCCTCTCTGTCAGCCTGCAAATCCCATCTCCGCTTGGTGTCACAGGTAACACAATCGCTCTTCTTCCTGCTGCACTAAACCCCTAAAAAGCAACAAAGACATCACAATCACAAACTTAGCACCAAGATAATGTAGAACCCACTGTGATCACATAAAGGTGTGGTTTTGCCAATCTGCATAAATTGTGTTTGATGTAATTGAATTCTTTAGTCAAATAATAACAGGAGGAAACATGAGAATGTACAGAATATCCCCTGCAAGTGACCCATTAAATATTAACGTCTCAGACTTCCAATGATACACTATCTGGCCAAAAGTATGTGGACACCAGCCTGTCATCTCCTTCTGAAACCAGGGGTATTAATACGAAGTCGGTCCGCCCATTTCTGCTATAATAGCCTCTTCTCTTCTAGGAAGGCTTTACATTAGATGCTGGAACATTGCTGGTGGGATTTGCTGCTGATCAGGTTGGCTGTTGATGTCGAGTGATCAGGTCCCTTTCTGTGAGCTTGCAGTAAGCTTTCTGTGAGCTTGCAGTAAGCTTTCTGTGGGCGGCAGCAGTAAGACCGAGGACAGCACGCAGCAGGACCGACTCTGCGCATGGCTATAGTTACAGCAGCACAGCCTATGCATGAGTTTCTCAGTGGTGCCCATTAACAAGGCTGCAATCATCATCATCCCACGATGAAACAGCCCTTTCAAACTAAGAGGTGGTTCCTGTGTCATCACTGGGTTCTTTAGCGAGTAACAGAAAGATGTCCTCTCCTCAAGATTCAATTTTAGTTCTCCTAAGAAACATTTGCTTTCTGCAGTAATGCTGTTTTGTTACCTAATCAATGGATGTCTTTGTGGAAATATTGAAGGACTACTATTGGTATCCATCCATCCATCTTCTGTAACCACTTATACTATTCAGGGTCATGGAGGGTCCAGAGCCTATCCTGGATGCTGTGTGTGTAAGGCAAGGAACAACCCAGGATGGGTTGAACAAGCAGGGAGAACATGCAAACCCCACACACATGGAACCCTGGCAGAGACTCGAACCCCAGTCGCAGGGGTGGGAGGCAACAGTGCTAATCACTGCACCACCATGCTGCCCTCCCACCATTAGTATCTTTATATAAAATGATATACCAGCTAGTAAGTGTGCTCGTGTAGATTTTGGTTTACATAATCTTAGATGTCATATCCTCCACTCCCTGCAGTTTTAAAGGAGGATTCAAATCTTTGGTAAAATGATTTGCAGTCATCAAAGACTCATGCTTGCTTTCCCAACTTCCAGACCTCAGCCACTCCTCCAGAAAGCAGAGCTCAAAAAACCGCTCGGGTCTCATTACTGTACGACACAAAGGCGTATAAAAAAATGAAAGTCATCCTGATTTCTGATATCCAAGATTTTGATGTTGGTTGAGTAACTGCTCAGAAATTTAAAAGCTGGAAAATGTTGGAGCCGCACCAAAAAGAATAAGCCGCAGAGAATTTCCCTTGCTACACCTCCGATTAGCCTCTCGATTGGCCGGCACTTCCTAAAACAGCTTTGTGATGTCCCTGGGGGAGCGTTCGGCATTCCTGAGGTATAAGAAGCGAGGCCAGGAATCGCAGACGTGCGTAAGTCCAGGAGAAGACCGGATGAGGTTGATAAAATGCACCAACATTAGAAGACATGACACATGTGGTGTTTGGCTCTTGAATGAATCTGACCCGGTTCAGCCCAGGATGGCCAGTGCAGGTCAAGCTTCCTCAACCTGCTTCCTGTTGCGTGAATTAAGAGTCCCCATCATGACATCATACTTCCTGTCTTGGGCTTCCCGCCAACCTCTCTGACGTTCCTTGCCAAGCCTCACTTATCAGACATGCGTAGGAAGAATCTTAACGCTGCTCATGAACTGAGAGGCGCAATGTTTGGTGGTTTGATCATGGAACTGGGACACATTAAAAGATTTACCTAAATCCTCTTAGAATGGATAATCCCTTCCTGTTACTTTAAGAATACAGGTTTAAATTTTACACACTTTCTCCCTTAGTGTGAGCATTAGGCTATGGTATGATTTACCTATAGGCGCAGATTTCGATATCCAGGGCCATTTTCTCATTGAGCAGCTCATCATAGCACCCACAGTGCTCCCTCATCTCGGTCTCCAGGTCCTGCTGAACGGCCTTCAGGTCTGCAGCATAGCACTAGGGGACAAGCGCAGGCAGCTGATGCTTTTTCTGGCAGCCGAGCCAAAGTGACATTAAATCTGAATGAAACAGCCATTGCGACGTCCGCAGAGGAGGGCCGTCGCTGCTGATGGGGCTGCCCTACCGCCTGCATTGTTACTTAGATGTGGTCAGGCCACCTCCTCACCTCTAGCTCTTCAATCTCCTGCAGATGGGCCTCCCCCCTCTGCTCGATCTCGCCCTCCAGCTGCCCGCCACACTGCTCCAGCTGGGCCAGCTCCCTCCGCAAGGTTTCAACCTGAGCAGAAGCGAAGACGTCGGGAGAAACCGTGCCATGGGCAATCGATACATAGCAGCGCAGCACGCAGCAAATGCAGTGGATTAAAACGCAGACAGGAAGTTTGAAAATAGGCACAAGCCGGGAGAAACCTCAAAGAACTCAAAAGGAATATTTCTGGTATTATTTACTCTTGCACTAATCCAGTTTAACCACAAAGGATGTTTAACAACTGGGCGCAATGCACTTTAGCCACAACAGAAAGGGGGCAGATTTCAGTCAGCTCTGGTAAATGCAGTCCCTGCTGTGAATAATTACAGTAATCAAGCAACTTAAACAATTACCAGTCTCAGACTGATGATATTTCCGGAATGTGACTCCTATTCAGGTGAGATCCATGAACACTTTCTTAACGGATCAATGGCAATCCCAATTGTTTCCCAGTCCTTGGCTGGAAGGTAACCAGAACTTCCCGCTAAATACTTTCTGCATCGAACAGACTGCTGTCACAATTCAGAATTGTGTGTGTGTGTGTGTGTGTGTGTGTGTGTGTGTGGGGTGGGGGGGTTACTTTAGAGAGGTGTCCAGGATAATGAGACGCAAAAATGCACCTGGTATAGCTTGTGGACACGCACCAGCAGGGCTCTTTCGCTCTGACAGGATGACAGCGAAATCACTGATTTATAACGAGTGCCTTTTGCCGCCTCTTTAATGCTTCTGAGCTTCAGTGACCTCCAACCGTCTGGCCCACGCAAGCCCACATTTGCCAGTTTCAGTTAGAGCCGTGGAGAAGACAAGTGACCACCGAGGATTCATTATTGATTTATTTTTCAGTTTGAGAAGATTTTCCTCTGAAATACATTAAGTTTATTAAACTGCATCTCTAAGCATGTGGTGTTCATTGGCAGTAACGACAAAACAGAGGAACGTATAATTCCTGCTCTAGAAACAGGGTTGCATCGAAACAGCAGGCTAAATCTCTCAACATAAACAATCCGGTCGCCAAGAAATCAGCCGCTTCGTCGCTCTAATTGGCTACTAAATATTTAAACGTGCCACCACCTAAGATCCCCACGATAACGTTTCTGGCTGATGGAACCAGTCATTTTCGATAACCATGCCAGTGAAGGCGGCTATGGGGCAGCCCGTTTAAAGCCAGGAAGTGAATTAATGGAAAGATAGATAGAGGAGTGTCAAAATCAAGAGAGCAGCTGTTTGCTGATTTAGAGGAGGCAAATCGCTCACCTGCCTCCTCAGCTCTCCGGTGTCCATCGCCTCAGTGACGTCAGCTACTTTGCCAGCATGGAGCGCTCTGGCAGAGACGGCGGCTGCCTCCCTCTCTGCCAGCATTGGATAGGGTGCTGCCAATTTCAGTTCGTACTGGAGGCACAAAATACACAAAATTGGGACGGGAAGCTTTCGGCTGGTAACTATGAGCTCTCCAACATTCCCCTCATGCACCAGAGGTGAGATGGAGGTCAAGCGCGGCTCAGCTCGCCTCTGTCCCATCGCAGACTTCTGGAATAATCACTCGCATGAAACGCTGCTGGCCGTGCAGGTGTGCTAAGTCTGGCCTGTGATCATGATTACAATCCAATCCCACTTACAATCAAATGTGTTTGAAACAACCGCACCTTGCAGTACACTAATCGAGCTCAAAAATGACTGAATGGTACCAGAGACCAGCAGGATACCTGCAGGCTCTCTGCAAGCTCTTGGTAGTACTCCTTGATCTCCTGGATGGCAGGGGCAACATCAGGCCTGGGAAACTCCAGGGCGAGCGCAACAATGTTTTCTCCAGGCTCTACCAGGTTCTCAACCGTCTGGGGGGAAGATGCAAAATTGGGAGACATAACATGTTTGTTTTCAGGTCTCGATTCATAAAGAAACATAAATGAGCAGATGGTTTATTACAAACAAAACATAAATCATTTATCAGTTTGATGACTTATGGAGACCATTGCAAATGTATTATACAAAGTATGAGGCATCTAAAATATATATTATCGGTGATAACAGGAGGTGACCTAGCAAAGCAGACGGCCGTTTTCATTTTGCTTCGATATGCTTTGGCAGCCCGAGGTTGAAGGCCATATCTGAACGGGAGTCCGCTAATCGCAGTGCGGTCAGGCTTGGAAGAAAGGTTGGGCGCGAGCGGTACTACAGCTATTTCCGATGCCCTCCCATTGTGTTGATGCACTCGACCCACCGATCTGATACAAGCATGTCTGTCAGTGAAGTGGACGCAAAAGGAAGAAAGTCAGGAGAGTCACAGACAGCAGAGTCATGAAGTGATGAAGCGGGGAAAGGAAACAGGCAAGGGGACAAGGTAGTGAGGACTGGCAGAAGCAGGGGAAAGGGAACAGGTGAGGGGACGTGGTAGTGAGGACTGACAGAAGCGGGGGAAAGGGAACAGGAGAGGGGACGCGGTAGTGAGGACTGTTAGAAGCAGGGGAAAGGGAACAGGAGAGGGCACTCAGTAGTGAGGACTGTCAGAAGCAGGGGAAAGGGAACAGGTGAGGGGACACGGTAGTGAGGACTGTCAGAAGCATTGGAAAGGGAACAGGTGAGGGGACGCGGTAGTGAGGACTGTCAGAAGCGGGGGGAAAGGGAACAGGTGAGGGGACGCGGTAGTGAGGACTGTCAGAAGCGGGGGAAAGGGAACAGGTGAGGGGACGCGGTAGTGAGGACTGTCAGCCGGTTACATTGCCCAAGAAATCTGCACCATCTGGCTTTTCGTGAGTTGTCCCCAGCCAGTGACCCCTGCCATCTCCCGCACAGCCTTGTAACAAAACCTAGCACATCGCGGCTGGTCCTAAATGGGGTGGCAGCTAGGGTCACCGCACCTCAAGTCCTGCGATACATCCGGGCTCTTCTGCTTACTGCTAGGACAAGCAGTCCTTCGTTTAAGCTAAGCGGACTGGAGACAAAGGCCCAACCCCCCGAAGATTCTCACCATCTCATGTGCTTCCTGTATGGCGGCAAGCTGCTGCTCGAAGATGTTCAGCTGGTCCCTCAGGGCCAGGCACTCTGCGGTCACTGCATCCACATCCTGCAGGGGGCAGAATGGGATCCATCAAAAGCAGGCAGGGAGCACAGCCAACGGCACCCCGGCTATTCTCCGGTAGCCACGGCAATGAAGAAGAAAGGTTAACTGGGTCACTGCTAATATAGCAAACCGCAATCCTTTTAACAGCAGGGTACGGTTAGCTCACCCAGTCTTGTAAGTAATTTGACAAATTAATGATGACTCTAATAACCCTAGACTTGAATTTGCATTCAATTGTATTAGAGAGTCTACAAAGCTTACGGGTCCCGCTTAGTAGCCAAACATATGGGCCCCTCATGCATGTAACAGGCATGCAGTCTATGTTATCTGCAAAAAAAAAAACACCAACCAATAAATGGGAGAGGTGGGTTTGCTGAGTGCTGTGAAGAAGCTTTTCAGGGAGGCTCCTGGACAGCAGCACTAGCCTGCAGCATCTGCCTCCCATATCTCTGAGCTGCTGCTCAGGGAAGCAGTCATGATACCAAGCACTGAACACCAACCTGAACATCACCCCGAACACCACCCTGAACATTACCCGGAACTCTACCCTGGGTGTCACCCTGAACATCACCCCGAACATTACCCGGAACTCTACCCTGGGTGTCACCCTGACCATCAGCCTGAACACTACCCTGGATGTCACCTTGAACATCACCCTGAACACCAATGTCCTTAGCAGCTTCAGCCACCTTTGATAGAGGGCACCTGATCAGCTTGACATGAGGTCTGCGATAAAAAGTCACGTACTGATGGGCCAGCAATGAGTGACGCTAACCAGGAAACAACTGTGCTAAAACACCCTATAGTTCAAATTTAAATTGCATATAAACACATCAGAAATTAATCCATAAATGATGACCAGTATTTCCATATGTGCAAAATGTCCTCCCCTTCTAGCACCTTCACAATTTCCCAAATTTACACTGCTGCGAAGTCAACTATATGAGGGAGCAGGCTTCTGTTAGCTAGCAGCAATGGCCCAGTGCTTGACTAACAGTGACATCTGGTGGATAGAGTAAGTCCCTGCAACCTAAGGCATGCCGGCATGTATTTAGTTTAGTAATTCTTTTGGTTTGGATATTTGTTAGCAAAACTATTTCAGACACTTCAATGGAAATAGCGGGTTTTGTGTTAAACTTAAAAGCACATTGCGGAAAGTAGAAAAAAATGAGGTTCCATGTCTGAACCATAAACAGGAAGTTATCTGAAGGGAACCAACAAAAGGAAAAGATGAGGTGGAATCACATTACCAAAGCGACATCCTCCCTGGCGTTATGGATGAGGGACCTTTGAGCTTCCACTTCTGCATGCTGCACTTGCAAATGCTCTAACTCTCGTTTCAGCTCAGTGACATCACACAGAGTGTCCCCCTGCAGGGAAGACCAGGCAGAGGTCAGCAGAGGCCTTCTCACACTCCATCTTGACACCACACCTTGATCAATATCACAATCCATTAGTCCTATGAGAAGGCAGTAAACATATGGTGCTAATCCTGTTCCCCTCATGCCACTGGATTTTTTTTCACTGCAAGGAAATCTCCCACATGTCAAACAGGGCTGGAAACTGGCAAGTGGTCGAAGTTCTGTCAGCATAACAGTGGTGAAAAGTGGATCAACTGTGTGGCAGTGCCACCTGTAGGTCAGTTAGGGAACTGCAGTAACATAGGTCTTCAAATTCCTTCTCACCCAAGCTAACTGTAGCAACAAGACTTACAAGCCTGACGGTTATTAAAGGATGGGGATTCTCCTGTGTGTAATACTTTGAGCAATGCAGCATCCACTACCTTCTCTCTTCTCAGCTTCTCCACCACGGCCTCCAAGCTGTAGTCAGGAAGTCCTCTGTGGTCAACTGTCCCCTCCCCGCTCTGCTTCCCCTCTAGTTCTAGAATTTCACACTCTAGGGACTTGTTCTCCTCCTCCAGACACCTCACCTAGAAATGCAGTGACCACAGTCGCACTTTCCTCACAGCTATCGACGTAATGCTACATTGCAAGCGTAATTAGGAGCTTCGCTGGCTCCAACACTAAGTGAGGGAAATATTGTACGATATTCTGCAATGCTTGGCCAACAGCGACGTAAGTAATGAGTGGTAAGCTCACCATTTCAACAAGAACAGCCAGCCGGTCATTGAGTGCAGCAATAACGCCACGTTCCTGCACAAATCGAGACACAGCCTCTTTGTTCTGCGTGCGTGCCTCTTCAAAGTCCGGCTCCCCCCAGGGGCCATCTAAGGCCCTGCCAGACCAGAGAGAGAGACAGTGAGCTGATAAGAGGAACTAAGAGTATGAAAATGTGGCTTGTAAAAAAAAAAAAAAAACAGAAAAACATTTTGCCTCGTCAGCTCAGCCTGTTAAGTTTGCTCAAAAACACAGAACAGGATGCATGAAAGCAAAGTTATGTGCTCAGTCTCTCAGCAATCAAGCAGATTACTTACTTACGTGTCTTCCATGTCAACAAGAGTCATGCACTGCTCAAATTCTGGGATAAACTTCTTAGACAAATACTTCCTTCTTGCATAGTATATACCAAGTATATACCAGTGTATTGACTTTGTTTTCCCTTTGGAAACTAACCTTCCTGGAAAATCTTAGTAAGTTCCTTAAAGTTCATGTAAGAAGACATAAAATCATTTTTTAGGCATTTTTTACATTGCCCATGTGGTTAATATATTGTCCAGTATATGATTTTATTGCCTGATTTCTTTGCCAAATGAAGGCTCACATCCTTAATCACAAGACGCGCAGACAAAGACGAGAGGAACACAGGGAAAGCGGGACACCCACCTGGCAGATGGGCGGTATTGTTCTGCACAGCGCCGGCTGATCCCACCGGCCCCGGTCCACTGCTCTTCTTCAAAGAACCGGCGGTAGGAAGACACCCTCAGCATGGCCGTAGGTGGAGGACAAGCTGGCCGCACGGGAAACTGAGGTGCTCGGGGTGGGATGGGCGTTTATGTAGCAGGGAAGCAGCAATCTCGCATGTGGCTGAGGGATGTCTCACGGACTGCTGACAGAACCAACTATGGGAGAGGCATCAGCCCGCAGGGATTTCACATGAAGCAGAGACAAAGTCCATCATGGACAGATGATGCTAAGGCTAGCTGCTAAATGTCCAAAGACAGAGAAGCACAACCTCATTTAGCTCTAAGCGATGAGACTGCCCAACAGGCCATTTGACCGCTTACGTAGTCTAAGCCTGAGATGCACACTAATCTTTGCCCATCGTGGGCCGTTTATGTAAGCATTCTCCATGCAGGTGAGGCTGTCTTTGGGCGCCTCGCAAAGTAAAGAAATCAAGACAGCAAAATATTTACATATTAATTCATGTCTGATTCCTGAACATGGGTACTCGTTAAATTTTGGGAAGCTTTCAAACCCCAGTGTAAATAATGCCAGGGTAAAGAATAGAGGACAGAAAGAAAAAATAGTTGCTTAGTCTCCCGTTTGCCTTTGTTAGAAAATGGGCAAAAAAAATAAATCACTATCAGTTGGCAAATATACTGTGTACTTTGTAGAACCCAAGGTTATTTTCTTACTCTCACTGTAGAAAAGTGTGGAGATCACTGACTCTGTGTCTCTACAATACCCATAGTATATATATGTGCCCCCTGACTCCGGGAAGAGGAATGGAATCAATTTCCTTCTGCATTTTCCTGAAGAAACTTCACTTGTTAGGTAGCAAAGAGAAAAACAACTGGGCAAAAGCAACAAATCTTTATTTCTATTTAATAAATTAAAGTTACCAAAACTGGGACAAATTTTTGAATAGGTGTGCATTTAGAACATCCACAGACGTACCATAAGAGTGAATCCTAGGCTAGAATAGGTCCAAAAGAGCCCTAAAAAAGTTAGTGGCAGATTCAAAGAATCTCACCGTAGTAACTGATTTAACAATTATTCCCAGGCTGCTTAAGGATATTTGTGACAATCCAAAAGATTCATAAACGTAGGCTGTTCTCAACACTGGTCCTGTCAGCCAGCAGGACCAATATGGAAGGGATAAACACTGAACAGCCAGGATTACCGAAACACAACATACTGAACGTCTCTGGGAATGTGGACAATATCGATCTCATCTACGAAGAGTAGTGTTGTGAAGACGACTGGATAGAAGTAGGTCTACAGGTCCACATCTGCAACCAGAAGAGACTTGCAGCGGCTGTAGCAAACCATTCTTTTCACTGCAAGCCACCGTTTGGCAATCTGTTTTGGCAGACAGCAAGCGCCGGAGGTTATGTAGTACAAGCAGTGGGTGACGGCAGCATGGTTCACAACTTGCCAGGATACAAATCGGCCCTCGTCTTAGACTCGCACAGCATTCAGAACGGGGGACAGTCCCACCTCAGATTCAAATACTGTGGTGAGGAGCGTGCGGCCATGACGACAGAGTAAGGTATTGTATAAGCGCTTCTGAGGAGCGGACAGGAGTCGCTGATAGTGTTTTGTGGGGACATTCCAACCCTGACTGCTTTACATGGACAAGAAGAACTTTTGCAAGGTTGTGGCCCTCTCTGCATCGGAGAGCTGGAGACGACACGTACAGCAACAGACATGCAGCTGTCATTAATGTCTGCAGCAGGACGTACTTCAGGGCCAACACCCAGTCTGCACAATAATCATATTCATCTGTTCTATGAAAGAGGAAGCTTTTTTTTTGCTTGCTGCTCTTTGACTTGCTAGAATTCTGGGAATTTCTCTTGCATACTGTGACATCATACTTGAAAAGCAAATACTTGAGAATGCATTATGAACAAAGAGCTTAGTGTGCATAATACATCATCCTACATACAAATATACACAGAAGGGAGAATGACATTCGTGCACCATCAGCTAGGAGATAACAGGAGACATCCCCACTGAAGGGCAAGACATCAGCTCCATGCGGCGCCAAGACTGTAGTGCACATGATCGGTTTTTGAGATGTAGAAAGCAGACGTGAAGTGAGGTTTACGATCAAAGTCACTTCTACAAATCATAGATAAGTAATTAAATCGTGGCGGATAAATGGCAGCTTCCTGTTCTTCGCATCTCGCGAGCTGTGACGAGCAGCGGGGCCAAAGCCGGGGCCACATGGACACGTTCGACGCTGTGATGAAGGCTTGGCCGTGGTGATTTCAGGATTCACACAGAGATGCAACACACAGAGCTAAACAGTTGAACGTGTGAACACATGACTGCAATGGCTACACTTCTTGAAAATATAAAACATGAAGGGGTACGTGTTACACCAACACATATAAAGCAAATGAAAATAAATATACTCTTAAAACTGGCTTGTTAAAAATTCCTAAGTCAAAATGGCGAACTGCTGCTCTCAGCAAAAGGAGCAACATAGATGCTACAGATAGGAATGAAATGTGACGTCCCCTCGAGAAGGGAGAAGTAACGGCAGGTAGAATCCCAGCATCCGCTGATGATCTTCACTCATTACATGACTGATGATCCAAAAAAAAAAGAGGATTGTCTGGTTCACCTCAGATGCACCTCAGCAAGTAGTTCAATATGTGATTCAACATTGATGCCCATATATGAGGAAGTCTGAGAGTTTATGCGTAGATGAGTATAAAAATGTCTAAGGTTTCAATGCTTACCAGTGCCCTATACATAGTCGTTAGTGTCATTCATCACTAGTGCTTCAACAAATCACTATCATTACCATAATATCATCATCATCATCATCATCATCAGTGATGAAGGGCACATTCACACATCGAGGCCAAATGATATAGTTTTTCTTTTGGCACAGAAAATCCATATGATGCGAATGTTGACTAGAGCATTGTTGTAAGTACCAGAAGAGTCAGACAGCAGGACATCTGACCCTCCATGGAGTGAAGAGAGTCCTGACCACTGGAGAAGTGGGAGGGGCATCAGAGCCCCACCCAGGAAGCCCTCACTCCTCATCGCCACCCATGAGGAAGGTCAGGATGAAGTTGATGGCTTTCTGGCGGTCCGGTGATGTCTGCCTGCCCACAAAGTTGGGCGGGGGCCGTATAAGGAGGCTGGCGAACAGCGTTGCTGAAGAGGGACAGGAAGAGTCAGAGTCAATGACGCTTCTGAATATACGCACAAAGCCTTCAGGAGGAGCAGGGGGATGTGAGCACTGACCTACGAGGCTGGCTGTGAGGTTGTTGCTATGGGAGCAGCGGAGCAGCTCCCGCAGGAAGGCCATGAGGTACCGGAACATGTTGCGGTGAGCGCGAGGCAGCTGTGAGACCAGCTGTCAGGGCACACGACCATCAGATCTGTTAGCAGTGCTGAGCACTGAATGCTTCCAAAGTAAAACTACAATCACCGAGACCTTTAATGACACAGAGAGTGGCTGCTGTGTTTGAAAAATGCCACTGAACTTCACAAAATAGGATGAATGGCCAACCTGTGGTACACATCACAAAAGACATGAGAGATCTTTCATTAGAGAAGCGTGGGGGGAGGAGGACCAGGGGTCCATGCACCTGTTTGCAGAGACGGATGTCGAGAGAGCATTCCAAGCAGCGCTGGTAGAGCTCGTAGCAGACCACGGGCTCCGGCAGGGCCTCCAAGAAGATCAGCAGAGCCTCTGCCACCGAGTGGTTACTGCCGGCTGAGGCCAGCTAGTCAGGGAGCAAACGCACCACAGAGGAGCCACAGCGGTGACCGACAGAGCGAGAGACAGGAGGCAGGAGTAAATGCCGCCTTTAAGAGGCTAATGAGGCAGCTGCCATCGAGGCTCAGAGACTGAGTCAGAAAGCCCTAACATGCTTGCAAAAAAAACCCAACATCCAAATACATTGCAGTTTGCTTCAGAGCTTAGCTATCATGTCAAAAGGAGGTGCTGGGGCCTTTTTCTATGTTTGCTTTTTTGTGAATGTCGGTAATGATGGAGTTTAGCTATTGCAGACATTTGCTGCTCAGATACACAGAATCCTGGTGGTGCTCTTTCTGCAGAAGACCACAGCACTTTATGAATACACAGACCAAGAGCACCATATTGTCAGCATACTGTCACGATGGGCCATAATGAAGCCCTAAAGTGCTACAAACACCCAATTTAAAAAGGAACATGCGTTTGGATTAAAGCAAACATTTTCTGCACACAACTCCCTGCTCTCTGTCAGATATAATGGACTAAGAAAGGGTTAAACTATTGGAGACAGGGATTCTTGTGTATAGACAGAGGAATAGTTAAATAGTGCTGTATTATCTCAAACAAAATAAGGTTAAGAAATAAAGCGCTAAGGACATTTCCTTTGTTAGTCCCCACAGTCATCTGTAGAAGCGTCTACACTAGCAAAGACAAACTGAAAGCAGGTTCAGGCTGGAAAGGATACGGATGGTTTCAGGAATGCTGGTGTCCAGGCAGTCGATGATATTCTGCAGCTCGCCCTGCATACCAGGCGTCTGGAAGAGGTCCTCCTGGAACCAGGTGGCACAATGAGCAGAGGTAAGAAGTAAAAACTACTTCTCTCTGTGCTGGAAGGTCGGCATCGTCCCTGTAGCTCACCTGGTTGCAGGATTTGGTGAACAGGTGGTCCACCAGCAGCCAGACCTCCTTGGGGATCTTCAGGGGCCTATCCTCGGTCCCACCAGGGTCTACCAGGAGGGAGTTCATCCTGATCCTCTCCTATTTTCAAAGAGTTCCAAATTTGATCATGAATATGCAAAGCAGACCCAAACTAACCATGTACAGTTACAAAGCAATTATAAAGTCAGCAGCATGCTTGCACTGATATATATATATATATATATATATATATATATATAATATTTACGTTAAGATTTTACTGCCAGAACAAAGAGGCAGTGTTAAAAACAGGGACCCCCCCCACTGCCCACTGGAGAAGAACCACATCACAGTATCACATTCTGCCAGATTTTGTAAGTAGACTGCTAGCACAGCATGGCCTAAAAATAAACTCCGGGAGGAATACCGCTCAGACACAGGAGAAACCCGATAG